CCTACCCCTAATGACTATGGGTCTGAAGACCACAATTTGGGGATAGTTTTGCAAATGGCTAATTCAAACATATGAAATAGGTTCAAACTACAACCTAATGTGCTCCTAGCATCATTGGATGAAAAGATCTCATTAAAATAATTAGAAGAGTGCCTCTTTGTTGTGTGCCTCTGAATAGTACAAGATGCTCTTCACATCCCATGATGCCAAATACGAGGCTGTCTGCATGCATGGCACTTCAGCCAATGAGGGCAAAAGGGCAAGGAATGGCTCTGTAATGATTCCACTGACATGGTCTTGAGAATGTGTCGTGGGTTTGCAGCTGTGATGGGGTCTTTAACATGCAAAGTCTCTCTTGTGCTAATATAAATGTGTCAGAATTAAATCCAATAATAGGAAACACGGACTATTGTTTTCAGCTCATTTCATTCTGAATGCGAGACTTGAGTCTCTTTAAAGACAATGTGTGCGGTAAAGAGGATGTAAATGAAATGAGTAGTTATTAGCTACAATGATATTATGCCAAATATTGCTGCACGCCATTCATTCGCAGGATTTCATTCTTGAGCATGAAAATATGATGAGAGAGCTGCTTCATTTCAACAATAAAGTCTTTGTAAATGATCGCCATAACCATTATGACAAATCTATGCACGGGGTTAAGTACCTCTTCAGCGCATCAGCTATCAGCCTGCAAAAAATGAAAACAAACACCTCACGTTTTTATATCGAGGCAGATTTTGAGTGGCGGACACAACGGTTAGGCTGGAGATGAAGAAGTGGAGACAGATGCGGTGATCCACACTTCAGATTCCAGCAATCTGTGTTTCAGCAGCGCAGAGAGCTCGTCCATTCATTGGTAACAAAGCAAATGCTTTTTAACAGACTGCTGAATGAGACCTTATTGTGGTAACGTCCTGCAAACTAAAAATCTAATTTCCCCTAAATGAGGGTACTTGTTTGGAAAGTACAAAGATTTGTGGGTATTTCGGCTCAATTAAAATGCAAGCGCAAACATCATTTTCAAAGACTGTCATTATCTATTTGAATAAAAGCTGTCAGTCATCTAGGCTGTTTGCAGAGCAGCTAAACACAAAAAGCTCATAGTCATTTTGTTGGCGATGTATTTAATTTTAGTGTTTTCAGGTATTGCCATTGTTTATTCAGTCTATTTTATGAACAGAAGCAAAACCTGAAATACAAAACAGATGGACATTCAATAGGAATAGGAAAACATTCAATGAATGCTTGCCTGCATTGCCTTTTTAGTCAGTTTAATACATTTTACTTAAATTTCACATGTGAAAAATATAAATGATGTACTTAAATTAAATGACAAATAGTTATGTAGCAGATGACAGACACAACATAAATGGGACAGTTATGATCATGGGCGACATTAGGGGGGCAAGAAAAAAATAAAAAAAATAAAGATATTTCGGATGTAGCCTATGAATCAAAACAATGCACTACCATATTGCAGCACATTGTGTCAATACAGCGCAGTGAAGAATAACTTAAAGACGTTGCGTGCGTTTACGAAACTGTCAAACTTTGACTCTTGCTGCTGATTTGAATGGCGATGCTTCCCGTTTTAAGTGTCAGTTGGTGGCCTTTAATTTTTAACCAGAAATGTGTGCGCTGCTTTTCTGATGTTCATTTAAGTTTACCATGTCTTTTTCCCATGTCACATGAAATGTGTCCGTTTTGAAACATTGTGGTGAGACACGTGAGAAAAAAAATAAACGATCAGTTGTGGGACAGTCTTAAATCGCATACCATTCATTTCTGAACTTTCTACCATCCGTTACTGGAAATGAAATTACTGGTTGATATGTCCCGATCTCAATAAAGTTTAGGCCTACACACGCTTTTAGTCCGTGAACTGGATCTCACTCAGGACGCGCGCTGTCTGTGGAAGTTTGGCCAGGACCGGTTCCAGAATAGGCCTAAATCACTGAGGCATTTTTGTCCCATCTATTGCACACTGATATTTCGAGAATGAATCCAGCATCATTCCCGAAACTTTTCAACATGTATGTGTCCAAGAAACAAAAGTTTCATTCAAATTCTGAATAGATTATAGCCTAGAAAACACACAAAGCGCGCTCTGATGGTGATCATGTCCTAAAAGACGTGATGAACAATATCATAACAATGTGATAAGCTGATAGGGACAGCATTGAATTAGTGGTATGTCAATACAGGGGTGTATATGATCTAGTCGAAACCACTGAGGCAAGCAGCTCAGATCATAATTGAGGCTGAGTAGGCGCATGTGCTGCTCGCACTGACAGCACATGTGAGGCAAGCGGCGACACATCTAGGTTATAAAACCTTGCGAAAGTGCTGGGGCCCAGGCCCATGAGGACATGAGTCCGTGGGTTGAGTGGGCCCGAACCCCTATACGACATTTCATGCCCTTAGAGCCATAAGCCAAAGCAATTGCATCGACGATCCAGTGTGGTAGCCTTTGCTTGGACACAGGCAGGCCTTTTGTGTGCCCTCCAAAGCATACAAATAGCTGGTTCGAGAGCCTGAACTGTCTACAGCGCTCAGTATAAATGCGCACCACACGTACAAGGCACAGCAAAAGTGTATTAAGCGGCACCGGCCCGGCCAGTGTTTCGGGACGGAAAGCAGATAGTGTTATGACCTGTGCTTTAAATGGAGTCGAAAGCACTTTAGGCACATAACCCTTCCTAGGCTTTAAGTTGAGTCTGCAATCACCTGGCTCGAACTCAATACACGAGTCGTCAACTGACAGCGCCTGCAGGTCCCAAACTCGCTTAACAGAGGCCAGCGCGAGCAGGAGCGCTGTCTTGAGAACAGTCTTTTTTTTTTTGCTCTTGAAGGAAGGCAAGAATTATTGGTATTGGGTAGTTGAATGGGTCTTCGCCCCGCAACCCACACCAATTTGTGAAAACTCTCCATTTATGTGCGTAAAGACGTCTAGTGTAAGGAGCCCTAGCCTCAGCGATAGTGATCTCCACCAGTTCTGGGAACCACCATCTCCACTAGTTCTGGGAACCACGGCTGATTGGGCCATTTCGGTGCCACTAACAGAACAGATTATTTTTTTTTCTTCTGATTTTGCAAAGCACGCGAGGCAGAAGTTTCACTGGAGGAAAAGCATACTTGCGTACTTTCGGCCAGCTGTGAGCTAGTGCATCCACTCCCAGGGGAGAGTGTGTCAGTGAATAAAACAGCGGGCAGTGAGTGTGCTCTGCTGATGCGAAGAGATCCACCTCCGCCCTGCCGAATACACTCCAAATCATATTGACTGTCAAAGGGTGTAATCTCCACTCCCCGTGGATTACCCCGCCCCTCGACAGTAAATCTGCGCCGTAATTCAGGCGTCCAGGGACATGTACTGCCCGGATGGAGACGAGGTGTCGATCTGCCCACAGAAGAAGGTCTCTCACCAGCCGCAGCAGCGGCCGCGAGCTCACGCCCCCTTGGTGATTTATAAATGCTACCACTGTCATGCTGTCCGTCTTGATGTCAACGTGATTGTAGAGAATGTCTGGGAGAAAGCACTCGAGCGCTAGGTGTACAGCACGGAGCTCCAGACAGTTTATGTGCCACAACTTCTCTGTTTCTAACCACGTCTCGAAGGCTGGTCTGCCGTCGCATACAGCTCCCCAGCCCCGTGCTCGATGCATCTGTTGTAGCAGTCTTTCTCCTGATCACTTGGCCAATAAGAACACCCAGGCGATACAGAGTCATATCGCACCAAGGGGTCAGCGCATCCCAGCAGTTGCGCGTCACTTTGATGCCGTGCGCTCTGTGGCACCCGGCCCTTTAGCCAGACCTGAAGCGGTCGCATATATAGCGAATGTAGAAGCTGCTCTCGCAGTCTGCTAGGAGCACTGTCTCTACAGCGCGTTTTGCGAGGAGGTTGTGTATTTCCTCTCACAGAACTGAGGCATTCCGCTACCATACAGTGGACATTAACACACCGTTGAAACGGGGCGGCCTGCAGAAGAACTGAAGCGTGTAGCTGTTCTTTATTGATTTCATAACCCACTCTGACACCCCTGGCAGTGCCTGCCACGCTTCTGTGAACTGTGACAGCGGGCGAGGCGGACTGCACACCGTGAGGGATAACTCGCCATCGGGGGCGGGGAGTTTAATACCACGCGAGTGTGAGAGTGAGTAATGGGGGAGAGGGGAGTGAGAGGAAGAGAATTGCTTTGATATTGAGGTGAGTTTTGTATGTTTTTCGACTTTATTGCACTGCATAGTTGAACAGTCAAAACACAAACATGACAATTGCTCTCGCAGCCCGCAACAGGCAGGGGAGGCATGGTGAACACACACAGCAGAGCGAGTAGACTTTTTCAGTGGCTCGTCTTCAGCGCTGGGTGTAGATTTCCTCCTCCGAGAGACAGCATCAGGAACGCGGCTTTGATTCCGGTGCCGGTGGCCTGC